TCATTATATTTTTTCCTCAAACACACATGGTTATTACTATTATTAGCAGTTAATGCTTAGTGATGATTGCTGAAACCCGTCTTGCATTGTTTGTGCTAAGGACATCTTGCTATAATACATGAAGCCATGCTGTTTGAGGAGAGATGTGCTGTTATTTTTCCAAACAGTCAGACTTCAGCCATAAAACAGGATGAAAAAATCTAAATTATTTACTGTGAAGCAAGGATATAAGCCATATCTAGGGATCAAAATATCTCAGAAATATAGGGATATGATCTTTTAGATTTAGCAATGTACTAAAACATTTCTCAAATTGAAATGTCCTGGCAAACAACTAGCACTGTCATGGAATTTTTTGCCCTTTTCCCCTTAGATCCAAGAAGCTCTCTGTACCTGCCTCTGTGGTGTCTCGGATCATGGGTAGAGGTGGCTGCAACATTACGGCCATCCAAGACGTTACAGGTGCACACATTGACGTGGACAAACAGAAGGACAAGAATGGAGAAAGAATGATCACAATCAGGTAAAAATAATGCTTAAAGTTTTTAAGACACTAGTAATTATTGTAATTATAATAATTATTGTTCACCCTGCTTGGGTTTCTTACTTATGCTCACTCTCTTGGCTTGCAGAGGTGGCACAGAGTCCACACGGCATGCGGTGCAGCTGATCAATGCGCTAATCCAGGACCCAGCCAAAGAGCTAGAGGACCTGATCCCTCGTAACCACATCCGGCCGCCTGGCGCCAACACCAAAATCAGCTCCACCTACACAACCTCCACTGGGGCCACAAGCACTACTGCAGCCAGTTCAAAAGGCCTGCCATCTGTAGTGCCCTCCCCCAGCATGTCGTTCCAGTCCTCCAACTTTACAGCTCAGCAGGCTAGCAAGTTAGGCAAAAGTATGGCACCAGGTGTCAGGCCCCCCTTCGTTTCTTTGCCACCACTTGCTTATGCTCATCCTCAGCTGGCCCTTCTAGCAGCACAGACTATGAACCAGATCCGCCACCCTCGATTGCCCATGGCGCAGTTTGGTGGCACTTTCTCATCCTCTCCCAACACTTGGGGTCCCTTCCCTGTGCGTCCAGTGAGCCCCGGTAGTGCTAACAGCTCACCCAAACACAGCGGGAATCCTGCACTGCGTCTCGGCAGCTCTACTTCGGCCCACCCTGAGCATCCTGTTGCCCCTGTGTCCAGCACCTCGACTGCCACTGCTTCCACCTCTTCTCCCACCAGTACCGCACCTGTTAACACCCCCACGCCTTCTTCTGTCAGGAAGCAGCTTTTCTCAACAGAGCCCAGGTCAGGGGGAAAAGTTGTTGTGGCCACTAGTGGCAGCAGCGCTCCCTCTGTGCAAGTTGCTCCCTCTCCAATCAGCTGTGCTCCCACAACCCCTACGACCCCTCCATCTCCATCTGCACCCATTGCTACACCTCCACAGCATCCTCTTCCCCCCAAGCCAGAGCCGGCCAGCCTTAGCACCCCTGCTAAAGAGAAGCCTGTCACAGACCTTGCCGCACCTGCCACAGGAGCTCCATCTGATGGGCCCAGCCCCTCCGCTTCCCTGCACTTCACTTCCTCTTCCTCAGGCTCATCGATGCTTCCCGCACAGCCCGACAGCCGGCAGCCGATTGCCTCACATTTCACCTCCAGCTCAGAATCCAGTTCCTCTTCCTCAACTCAGCCAGGATCATCTCACCCCGTCACACGCATGCCACCTCCAACCTGCAGCAGCACAGTCACTAATACCAGCAGCACCTTACCTCATTACGCCACCCCCACTGCACCTGGCGTGACTCCCCGCATGCAGCCACCCACACCCTACTACCCCATGGCTTCAGGGGCCCTGCAGGAGCAGCAGTCTGTGTTTGTGCCTCAGGGAGCCTCACAGGAGCCCCTCAAACAGCAGCAGCAGCAGCAGCAACAACAGCAGCCTCCCCCTCAGCCAAACCTGGCTCCGACAGGCATGCCACCTCCCTCACTTCCAATGTCCTCCACCATGGGCATGATAAACGGCTCTCAAATGCACCTCCACAGTGGAAAAGCGCAACTGCCCCCCAACTTTGGCCCTGCGGCTCTCTTCAATCACTTCAGCAGCATCTTCGACAACAACCAGGTGGGCAACAACCAGGTTTGGGGTGCCTGCCATCTACCTACACGTACTCCAGCGGAGCAGCCCTACAATGCCCCACCTAATGCCTATATAGGAGGAATGGGGCAAATGGAAAATGTCATGCCTCCTGATGGCTCAAAAGCTCCAGGGTATCGTTGCACCTCACAGCGGATGGTTTCCAGTCCCATTGGTGAGTAGAACCTTTAAATCAATGGTGTCCAATTGTGTTCCAAGGGGGCCACCTTCCTGCGGAGCTTCGCTGCAACACAACCACCTGGAAGTTTCTAGTACTCCTGAAGACCTTAACTAGCTGGTTCGGGTGTGTTTAATTAGGGTTGGAGCTAAACTTTGTTGGAAGGCAGGACTGGACACCACTATCGCTGATTACCTCACATCTATGTTTTGAGATTGGGATCAAATCCTCTTGAGTAATGCTATTCACTATGTTCCACAGGAATACACCCCATGGACAACTCCATGTCCTCATCCACTGCGCTCACCAGCTTTACAACAAGCATATCTGCCAGCCCTGTGTTCCTGCCGGGGTCTGTTCCTGTGGGCACACCTTCTTTCAGCCGTCAGCACTTCTCTCCCCACCCCTGGAGTGCCTCCACCTCGTGTATGTCCAGAAGTTATTTTAACGCAAATGCACCAAGCACAGCATCACTTTTTATAAGACTATAGTGCTAATGTGTTCATTCTGATAGTCCCTTCATTTCTCATTGATTTTAGGTGAGTCTCCAGTGCCCTCTGTCTCTTCCGGGGCATCCTCACCTCTTTGCACATCTACGGTGACTCCTGCTCTTATCCAGGCAAAAGCAAGTTGCTCCAACCAGCAGGACCGCAAAGTGCCCCCTCCCATTGGAACTGAGCGCCTGGCCCGCATCCGGCAAACTGGCTCCGTCAACCACACCATGCTGCCCACCAGCTACACCCCACCAGTTGGACAGGGTGGCATCTGGTCTTTTGGAGTGGGCAGTGCCTCCGGTGAGTCTGTGACTGAAATGTAATGGGCATTCATGAATTTTTTTTACGTGTTATGAAATGGAACATATTTGCATATTGAGTTAACTGTGGAGAGTTGGTATTGGATCTAAAGAACTAAATAAAAAATGTCTCTGTTCACAGAGACAATGTCAGGCTGGTCTCAGCCCCTGATGGGAGGGCCAGTGATGCACCAGCAGATGCAGGAGCAATCAGCTTTCTCTCAGCACCAGGCTATGGAGCGAGATGATACTGGGATTGTGGCTCCTTCTAATACTTTCCACCAACCTATGCCCACCAACTTCATGGATTTTCAGAAGGTACATTCTACAGAGACTCTTTACGATTTTAATTTTAGTTTGTTTTATTAGTTCCATTCAGTAAGGAGAATTTGAATTTGTAGCTCCACTGACAAATCTCGTTTCATGGACTGTATAGGGGCTGCCAATGTCAATGTACGGTGGCACGATGATCCCTCCTCATCCTCAGATGGCGGAGGGTCCTGGAGGCCCTGTATACAATGGTCTTCACACTTCTGACCCTGCTTGGAATCCCATCCTAAAGGTTGTTCCCAACTCTGCTGAGAATTCAGACCCACAGCAGGTAATTGCTCTTAGCTGCCCCCCACCTAAATGTGTTTGCAAATTAGAGCCCCATTTGTTGTCTAACTCTTGAAATCCTTGCTGTTGCAGGTATGGCCAGGCACTTGGGCACCACATGTGGGAAATGTGCATTTGAATCATGTCAACTAAACAGTGATCGAGAGGCCTAGGAGCAGTAACAAGAAACACGTTAAAGAACAAGATAATTACCTAATTACTGAGACGTGGTATTAACCTAGATGTGTCCCCCCAAAAAATGTTAAACAAGTTAAGAGAGTTAATTTGAGAGATGGACACCCTCGACGTGCCTAACTAAAAAGAAAGAATCCAGTGTGGGATTTAACGTGTTTACCACTGTCTATGAACAAATCGATTGCCTGTTCAACAGGATCCATTCTGAGTAGTATAGCCATTTTGACATTTAAGCCCCACGTAAAAGTGTTCTTGGTCGGCAGGGCTCAATAGGACAGTGCGCTATTTATACTTGGCCAAGACCTAGATGATTGCGTAAAGAATGAAATCAGACCTTTTAGAGTGGTAAATACCTGTATAATTGTTTACATACTGAAAAAAGGGTTAAAAATGAGAGTAAATTTCATGTCGTATAGTGGCTCTACTTTATGTAGCCTGTATTAATGTGAAATATTTACCTTAATATTCAATAAAAAGTTGGAAATGTATCTGGTGTGTGAAAGTTATTTTGACGTCAATTGATTTTTCATGAACACTGACGAGCTAAGATTGGTAATGCTTGCAATCTGTTATATGGTAAGGCACATTGCATATTACTGGTTAAAGAAGTAAAACTAGTTTTGCATGGTAAGTTGTTATATTTTCTTGGATGTAACTAGATGACAGTTTTCACATTTTGAGATGACTTGTGTTGTGAAAATCTGACCTAAATCTCAAGAGCTATGAGAAATTTAAACATCTTAAACTTTAAATACATCTTAGCCCAAGGGCAGAACATCTTGTAAAATAAAAAAGGACTGTTGTCAAGACTGTAAACGCACATTTTCATGCAGAAAAATGCCAAGATGCGCTGCCGATATGGGGAGGCATCCCTAGCATTAAGATGAAGCATATGCCGAGGGGAAAACTCATTCTTTTAGTACAGCACATTTTGATATCACGTGCTCTACTGAATCACTCAGAAAACCTCGTGCAGTTCGAAGTGTTTACATTCCGTGAAAACACTTGCTCCCCACAGAGGGCCTCGGCGCAGGGGGTGGATTTGTCTTTCTGAATTGCCTGATTGGATCGTTTGCAGCTGAAATCTCCTCCCTCGACGCTTCCAACATGTGGTAAAGGGTAAAGCACAGACTCGCAGCGCTACTGCAGATCAACAAAGTCTTTAGCGTGTGTTCATTGAAAGATCCGAGTTAGACTTAGGTTCAGTCATGTCAACGCGCTCCGAAGCTTCCTGCCCGATTCCGAGCCGCTCCATCCATGAGAAAAGCTGGTCTCCATCTGACAGCTACAGTCAGACTCCAGGAGGAACTCTGTTTTCAACAACGCCTGGGGGTAAGATGTACACCTTGTGTTTTTAATACTTTTGAACTTGTACTTTTGCTGTGTGTGTGAGTTTTTGCACGTTGCTCGTGCACACTTTTTTATGACGTTCCCTGATCGTTTGAACTGCTCAGCAACACGACGTTTGCCTTCTACTAGAACTGTCATTTAACTTCTCTGAAATCCATTAACGTTTTCACCACATCAAACATTATGTATTGTTCTGTTCAACGGAACTTTGTTTGACAATTTCTAACATTTTGACACTAATACGTTTAACAATATAGGCTATCGTAAACAATATGTTCGCGTTCACATTTTTCGTCCTGTTAAAGTACAAGAATACCTTGATCGAAAATGATACATTACAAAATATATAATAATATTTACCTTTTATATTTCTTATGTCATCGTCATGGAAAGACATCGAAGACAATGTTGTCGTCTTCGCAAATAATTTTGCTACATTAATTTTTGTAGAAGCAGGATTGTATTTGGAAATGGATATTGAAGTTATTTCACACTGTGGAAAATGAAATGTTTGAAATGTATTCATGTAAATGTTTTTGTATAGTCTGTGTTGGGTAAACATGAAACATTAAAATCGGTTCGAATTATTAGCTATTAATTATTATTATTAGTTCAGTCAGTGTTGACATTTTTTTTTTATTCTTACCATGCCCTAATAATTTTTAAAATGGTTTTATGAATGGATTTAAATCTATTCATAAAACAATTTTAAAAATAATTAGGGCATGGTTAAAAAAATAAAAATAAAGAAACCTTCTACACTAAGCTCAAGTTCCTGCAGAATAAACACCCATACAGACTATATTGTACCACCTCAATTGTCAATATTGATCACATGGCTTTTAAATCTTACATAGAGAAATGTTTGAGACTAGGCCAGTTATTCCATCTGTCGACTTTGTGTTTACAGCATTTTTTTTGTTTGTTAAAACCCCATCCTGCTTTGGAACCATATCTCGTGTGCGCTTGGGTTACCAGAGGAGATGTCCAACAAATCAAATTGACTTTAATAGATATTCGTATCCAAGAACCAAATCATTTCTTATTTTGGGTTTGAAACTTGCTTATTTTAGTGTCTTGGACATTGGACAAACTGAGCACTGACTCTATTAACAATCATATTGAGTCTTTATGCAGCAATGGGTGATGTTGCAAAATTTTCTTGCTGCTTGGGTTATTAGAGGACATCTCAACAGGGACACCTTGTTTTCACCTGCATGCATTTAGAAAGCACCCGAGTCAGTTCTTCACCCCGTCCCCGTTTCTATTACTTCAGCATGATCTGAAACAAACTATAGGCTTTCACTTGGTTAACATAACATGTTTTTCAAACAGAACACTGCAGGAAGAAAGTCCCTTGATGCAAAGAATGCTATGAACTTCTGCCAACTTTTTTTTTTTCTTCGACGCTGAACCACTTAAACTAATATTGGTATTTTCCCTGCAGGAACTCGCATAATCTATGATCGAAAGTTTCTCTTGGAATGTCGAAACTCCCCGATCGCACGCACCCCACCCTGTTGCCTCCCCCACATTCCAGGGGTCACCAGACCCTCACTGCAACCAGCAGAGCTGGAGCAAGACAGCAAAGACCTATCTGGTAATTCACCCACCTGATCTAAGAAGCATGTTCTGTATTGTTTTTTAAATAACCTCATCTGACGACTCTTACATATGGTCTAATGTAGGCCATACCATTTTTGAATTTCAAATCAACAGCCTCAAGCAAAAGGAACGGGTTTAAGCATGGTTTTAAATTGATTGCATCCTTTCCTCTTACTGCAAGGCGATAAATATACTTGTATTGCACGTTATGGTTGTCTACTGGAATACAGAATGACAGATAAAGTCTCGTGTGAATTTCTGTATAATATATGGGTCAGTGACAAATGATAGTGATCATAAAGATAAGGAAAGATCTTAAGTTTGTGATATGTTTGTAATAAGTTTTTATATGTAATAAGTTTGTGCTTATGTATATATGTGTGTGTGTGTGTGTGTGTGTATGTGTGTATATATATATATATATATATATATATATATATATGTGTATATACACACACATATATACACATACATGCATATATGTGTGTGTATGTGTATATATACACACACACCACACACACACACACACATATATACACATACATGCATATATGTGTGTGTGTGTGTGTATGTATATATATATATATACATACATATACATGTAGTTGCAGTGGAAACAAAGCTAAATATGTTTTTTTGGATAATTTTTAACCCCAAAAAACGGACTATGGACTGCAGCTTTAAGTAAATAAATGCATCTAGATCACGTTAAAATTAATGAAAACTACAAATGTTTCCAGGTGGAGTAGATACTCGGTTATATTAATGAGAAAGTTAACTGAAAATGTGCCACTTTTGTTTTTCAAGCTCAAGGTCACATTTCGGTGTCAGTGAAGTCCCTTCATGAGAAAAGCAAACAAAAAAACATCTGACCTGCTCACTGTGTCTAAGTCTGATTTCCATATCAGGGAACTGTCCACAGGGTGTACCTTTGTGTGATAGGGGTGACACCGTTCAAAGGATTTTCTGAGATCACATTTTCAACCCTCTCTCTCTCTCTCTCCTCAGTTGATGACAGTCAGTTTGTGATGGATATGTGATGGATGTCTCCAGCTCCTATTGAAAAATGGATTGTCTTAGCCTGTTCTACCAGTGCTCCTGATCTGAGGGTAGATCACACCAGCTGTGGATCCCTTCATTATTGCCTCTACCCGTTATTTTTTACTCTACCTAAATAATGAAATGCTCAGAGCAAGTTAGTCTCTGTTGTGGGGAGGAGCATTTTGAGTTTGGTGGATAGTATGTTGAAAATGCAGCTTCCGTTTCAGCTGCGATTCAGTGCCTTCCTTTTTTTTAACCATTCGGAAGGTGACTATATGTTATCTACATTTTTAATATCCGAGAATTATTCAAATGCAGCGGTTTCATTTTTGCAATGGAATTATGATCCTATGAGGGGCATTTAAGAAAATCCAGAATGCCAGAAATCAACTGTACTGTTCTCTGGATATAATATGATGTTTTGGAATAAAACTAAAACACTTGTTCACTTGTTTAAAAACTTTGAAAATTAATTTAGAGAAGAATTTAGAAATCATTTTAGCATTTTCAATACATTTGGGGAAACCAATCGAAACATTTGTTGTGTTTGATTTGTTCATCAATAATTTCAATCACAACTGTAGGCCATATTCACTGCACATCTCAATTATTATTATTATTATTATTAAAACAGGGGAGCATGTGGCATTTTAAAACCTAAACTAACCAAACTCACTATCTGGCAGTTATTATGAGAGACTAGTTTACCTTGAGGTTATGCCGATCTGCAGATTGTTTTTCCTGCATGTTTCTTTTTTGGTCATGTCGCACAACTTTTTCTTTGAGTTTAGAATTTGATCATTTTATCATAGCCTATTGCTTTTGAAAGCGGACACGGCCATGGCTCAATGGCATTTTGGCTAAAGCACGTGTGATGTGAACTCGCATGATGTCAGTAATAGTGAAAGACCTGCTGATAGTGTCTTTGGTACACAAAAACCACCTGTTGTTTTGTTTAACACTCTTCTTATCATTCTTCTCGTCTTCAACCTTGACACTCAATCCTGGAAGTTCTTCGTGACGTGGTCTAACCGCCATCACGTAGGCTAATGTTTACACCAGCTGATGCCGATTTATTTTCTCTCAAGTTATTTTACAGTAATTTGCGTCAGATTGGCTGTCAGTACTAAGTTTGATCACTGTAAAAAAAAAAATATTTTCAAGATATGTTATCACAACATTTTTTCTTTTGTCAAATCAACTTAAATAATTTATTTAGTTCAGATAACTTATTATTTTGAGTTTCTGATGATTAAATCAATCTCCTTCATTGAATTAACTCACTTTTTCCAATTTTCAATCAACTTAAAATTTTAAGGCACCCAGGTTACTTATGAAAGCTACTCGTGCTTCATGCAGTGTGTCAAAAACATAACTCACTTGATCCACCAGAGTCGGTATCACTACAACAACAACAAAAAAAATGATGCTAAATAGCACTAAAAGAGATTGTTGTTCATTGGCTTGTAATCATAGGGGAACCACTTTAAGTAGCACTTATCTATGTCATATGGTGCTATGTAGAACCATAAGAGGTGCCATATAGCACGTTAACCACCACAGAGAACCACTGAAGAACCACTGAAGGTCCAAACTGGGCTTAACAGGTTCTTTAAATGGTTGTGGTGCTATATAACACCATGACCACCGCATTAAACCCATGAAGAACCTTTTTTTTTTTAGAGTGTATATTACATTTCATTCCTTCACAAATGCTTATTATTATCATTCCCACAATCCTAGAGGACAAGCAGTTAGGAGAATGTCTAGATAATGTACGACATGCAACAGGAATGCATGTGTATATATATATATATAGCATATATAGTACTACTACAGTCAAATAAAAAATTATTCAGACACCAAATATATGGTCTTTGCTATTTTTTTTTTTACAAATGGATGCAGGACCCTATTAATTGTGAGGATATTTCTATCCTCACTTTAAAAGTTAAAGTGAGGATAGAAATAAAGTAAAAAGTGACATACTATACCAAAAAAAAAAAAAAAAAAAAATACAACCCAGACTGAACAAAATTAAACATAAAAAAAAAATACTATGGAAGTCTAATCGTTTAAAGTTCCAATCGTTCTTTAAAATATCTTCCCTTGTGTTCAGCAGAAGAAAGAAACTGAGGGCGAATACATGATGACAGAATTGTCATTTTTGGGTGGAATAACCCTTTAAGCATTGGTAATTGGTTGACTTAAATTGTGTAATCTAATTGTGTGCTTAAATTTAACAGCTGATAGCTATTCAACCTAATTTATCTGTGAGACAGTCTGACAGAAGGATGGTCGAAACCAGTGAAATATTAACTGATTCGATAACTCAGATTTATTGTCATATTTTATTTTCTAAACTAGCGTATAGAAATGTTAGAGGTGTCTGAATAAATTTTGGTTTGACTATATCCATATGCTACTATACCTAAAATAGGCTACAGCTGATGCAGGTCAAACCATGTCAAAATATTGATTTAGTATATTTACTAGGCTATTAATTATAAATATCATGTAATTATTCACTAATAATTTATTATTATCAGTATTGGGTGTAATGTATTATAATAAATTACTGTAATTTTTTTTCTTTATCCCTTAGCCTAAGGAATTCTTTTTCGCTATTCTTTAGCCTACAGAATTACTCCTATTTTTTCTGATATTTAATTCCAAAATAAGTGAATTAAAATAAATACTGTATTGATAGACTATAGAACCATTCTAAATAAAACAATAGTGGATTTAATAGTGGATTTCATTAAAAAAAGTGTAACCTATTTAAAAAAAAATTTTGTAATCAATACAGTAATCCACACAGTTGAATAATTAGTGGTAAGTAATGAGGTATTTTTAGAGTAATTTACCCAACACTGATAGTTATAGGCTAAGTTATGTATGGCAGAGTTAATCCTGTTCTATAGTGCCATCTAGTGATAAAATGAGGCTCTGTGTCAGCAGTTCGGAATGCATTATTTTACTGAAAAAATGAAATAATAATGATTATATTCGTTTGGTTTGTAGACGCGTTGTTACCAAGAATTTATTGACGCATTTTGCTAATACAACGCGATTAAAACATCTTCAGCAGAATATACGTCTCTGGAATAACCAGTGATTCATTTATTTTCCTACACCTGTTTCTAACCCTTCTTCGTGTTTCGCAAGTTTTTGGTGAATTATATAGCCTAACCATAATATTAACATCCGACGAGGATGGTTTTTGAACCCTCGCGTGCAGAGCACAATGGATTAGCAGTCAATCAATCGCCTCACGCTTTTCAACTGTTTTATTGATTTTTCTCTCAGCACATTCGTACATTTTTATTTCGTTTTTGAACAAACACACATATAAAACCAAACACATATCAATTAGTTAGATTCCTCTAAAAGTATCTTCTCTGTTGATCTCAGCCATCCACTTCACTCTTTGCCGTGTGACTTCAGTTACAAACATCAATCATGGCGTGGACTCTCCTTGCCTCTCCTGTTCAATAGCTCCAGAAAGAAAGACAGACATTTAGAAGTGTTTGAAATGACTTAAGATTAAAGTTATTTTATTTTCTAGAGCAAGAGAAAAATCAGTGAAATCGCTTGAATATCATTAGTGTGAAAACAAAGAAAGGGGAGGCAGGAAGCTTAATGAATTAGGCTACATGTTAAAGGGGGGGCATTTTACCAATTTTTTTTTATAATTATTTCCAAATAAATTAACATGTAGTAGGTTTCCTGAGCCTAACTGTCATAAGTTTTTAATCAAGACATAAACAATATAGGCCTTCTTAAACAAAAACAAAACAATGCATTGATCTTAACATATCACAATGACATCCTTAGCCATTTTTCCAGGATCAGATACTTACTTTCTTTGGTTGGCAAGGGATTCTTCTCTTGGGTCTCTGTTTTCCTGAGTTTAGTTTTATCAAAAGAAGTGATTTCCGTCATGTTGGGTTTGTCAGCCATGTTTTTACACTGTAGACAAAAAAATATCCAAGTTTAATATTACTTGCACAAAAAAATTCATATTCGTTTAGTCCCATCCATTCTTTTTTTTTATTTTAATTGTTTAAAAATATAATTAATTCAATATATGTTTCATTCAATCAATAAGAAAATGCAGTTGCTTATATTTATGAACGTATTTCTTAATAACCATTGCCCATCTGATAAGTCTGATTGATCATTCTTTCTTTCTGGGAACTGGGAATGTCACGCCTCTGTCTTTGTTCTGTGCCCTGCTTCTCAGAGTCGTTTCTCTGCTTCTCACTCTACATCTCTTGACAATTCAGACTCTCTCTCACAGAAAATAAGTAGAAAGAACACAAAGACACCTCTAAAAGCATCCAGAAGTTTGGAGTGTAGAAAGTCTTACCGTGAGGCAGTGTATGGACAGGAGAGCTGAAGGAAGAAAGTGTGGGTGGATGAAGCTGGAGGTTCTGCCTTGTGCGTGTGAATGTGGGATGAGGAGGGGGTTACACCGCCTGACCGTCCACAGGGTTATCTGATTGGCTACACCCCCCTTTGTCTTTCTTTTCCCCTTACATGCCATGAAATATTCATGAACTTGTAAGGGAGGGGCAGATTTCAAATTGTAAATCTGCTGACCTTGCACATGCTGAGGGGTGTAGCAGATTTAATTCAGTTAGGGAAATGAGACACAATTATGTGAAAGATTCAGGGAGTGGACGGAAAGAAAGAAAGAAAGAAAGAAAGAAAGAAAGAAAAAGAAAGAAAGAAAGAAAGAAAGAAAGAAAGAACAGTAGTGTGAAATATGATTATATATACATATCGAGTCCTTGATTTATAAAAAGTATTATGTTAATCAATTGTTCACTCGGCAGTAGCAATTTAAACAATATATTAATTTGTGAACTGATGTTCCTAATTTTTTTTTATCAGTCATCAAGCTCGGTAAACACATGAAGATGTCCCTTTAATTTCACCACGCAGATTTACACACACACACACACACACACACACACACACACACACACACACACACACACACACACACACACACACACACACACACACACACACACACACACACACACACGCGCACGCACGCACGCACGCACGCACGCACGCACGCACGCACGCACGCACGCACGCACGCACGCACACACGCACACACACACACACACACACACACACACACACACAAAAACACCCCCTAGTCAGTCTGTTTTCCGGCCATTTTAAAGGACAACTCTGGTGCAAAATGAACCTTTCGTCTAATAACACATTAATACCTAGTGAACTGTTCTCTGAGATTTAAACTGTTTAGTGTATAATGCTAGTATATAGGGCATAGAGTAATGAAAAACTAAAATAGCTTGTTAATATCACTAACAAGGCTCAAAATAGCCCCACAATAACATAATGAGGGTCCCATGCAAACCGAAGCATTGAGAACTTTGTACAGACAGTTTAATAAGAAGATATTTTATGAAGACACAGAACATGCAAGACACAGACTAAGAGCGCATGGCCAAGAGAACATCCCCAAAGCCGTACATTCACACAAACACAAAACACATGAGTGTCAGGATCCTGTCACCAAACTAACAAGTCCAATCAAGGTGACAGGATCCTGACATGAGTGTGTGTTTTGCTTTATTTGGTAAGTGGCCCTTTTTATATGAATTCAGATAAAGGATGTCTCAACTTGCATGACTCTCTGGGCAAACATAAGGTTTAGTGTATAGGCCTACATTAACCATTTCTGCCTCAGACCACAGAGTGGTGTGTCCCCCGGCTCAGCTGCTGTGTCCCATACACAGAGAGAGTCATCCAACACCAGACGCATGGTGCCTCAGAGCAGCTGTGTCTGAGCTGATCCCTATAGGGAGGAAATGACCAGAGATCTATATAAACACCACACAGCTGTTCCTTCAGGCCAAGAGACAGACCGTAGACTTTTCAGAAGGCCTAGAGAAATCAGATCTCTTTCAGCATTGTCTGAATTTATATTATTTGGAGCATTACATTTTTTTTTAATACATTTTGAATACATTATGTAAGCAATGAATGAGGTTCAAGAGGGTGTGCTATATTGTGAATAAGTGCCTGCAACCCCTTCAGCCGTGACTTATTCACGATATAGCACCAGCCTCACTACCTTATTGCTTTCATAAAACAGTTAAAATAAAATAAAAATATTAAAGCCAAAAAAAATGTAATAATGCAACTTTTATAAAGTAACGTTACATTTGAATCACTAAAAGCTTTCCTTTCGCTGGAAAAAAATAGTCCCTGGTTGTGAACAGCAACAGAAGTTACATTATTACGCCATTAGATGGCGGCAAAGACTGTATGAGTGAAATCAGTCAGTGGCGAAGACTTTTATTTTGAAAGGACCAAAAGTTGTCACACGGAGCAACTGACAAATGTTTTGAAATAGTTCTAGTTCTATGATAGGCATCGCGCTGTCAGGACAAGGGAAAACCCCTTAAAATGGTTAGTTCACTTTTTAAAAAACTTTTGCTCATAATTTACTCACCCCCATGTCATCCAAGACATTCCATTAAAACATTCATTTCTTTTCGACTGAAGAAAGAAAGGCATGGACATCTTGGATGACATGGTTGAGTAAATTATCAGCAAAAGTTTTTTTTTTTTTTAAACTGAACTAATCATTTAAGTGTTAAAAGGGGACAAGATATCTCAGCAGACGTCCACACAGATTTTTATTGCAAACAAACCTGATGGAAAATGCTAAATGCAAGTAATATACTCGCTCGCTCACTCACAATACTAAACTCTACATAATAGGCCTGCAGTATGTTTTAGATTTATGTATGGATATATATATATATACATAGCCTATCATCCACCTGGAGGGGAGGCAGAGTGATGAAGCCAAAAGTATTTATGTGGGATGATTGGGAGGCCATGATGGACAGAGGCCATTGAACTAATTTGGCCAGGAGAAGCTGGGGTTACAACCCTACTCTTTCGAAAGACATCCTGGGATTTTTAATGACCACAGAGAGTCAGGACCTCAGTTAGCGTCTCATCTGAAGGACGGTGCTTGTTGGAGTATAGTGTCCCCGTCAGAATGGGGCCTTAGGACCCACACAGACCACAGGGATAACACCCCCTGCTGGCCTCACTAACACCTCTTCCAGTAGAAACCTGGTTTTCCCAGAAGGTCTCCCATCCAAGTACTAACCAGCTCACACACACACACACACACACACACACACACACACACACACACACACACACACACACACACACACACACACACACACACACACACACACACACACACACACACACACACTGGTTCACAAAAATGCATTTTCCCATTCTCACCACCAGATGGATCCAGAGAAACACAAATGTAAGTTTCTCTGTGCTCACCTACGCATAATCATCATAGTACATTTTCCAGAAATAATGCATTAGAACATGTGGAAAAGATTTAGGATGAACTGTTTTTCATTGAAAGTTGAATCTTTGTAAATATACGATTCAAAGCTCACACACTCTTTCAACATCTGATATTGAAAGACTCATTCTGAGAAAAGTGTTGAGCCACCGTGTGTTTGGGAGTATAATTTGTTTGTTATATTTCACAGCATGTGCATAATAAACTATACTGAGATTTTCTTCACTATCCCCATACCAAGGCTATAATTTACAGTTTATGAAATAGAACCAATTAGTTCAACATGCCTTTGGTTGAAATGACATGTGTGGGTGGGTGAAGCCCTTGGGAAAACAGCGACCCAGTAGAGGGAGATGAGGTGGCCAAATCATTAAGGTGATGGACTTAATCTATTGGGCTCTGCATATAATTGTTTAGTATTGCTCACTGCTCTTAAATTTGCACATTCAAAATGACCCAAATCACTCCAGGTTTATAATCCTGGAACAAAGGAACATGCTTTTTATGTTCAAGCAAAAATCCTTAAAATATAATCTGCTTTGTGGACAGCTGGTCCAATGGCAAATTACTGAATATAGCGACCCAACTGACTTTTAATCACAATTAAAGAGTTGAATGGAGAGAGAGAGTTTATTCAGAACCTTTGAATAACCCCATAAAAGCCCTGGGGCTGCATTAAGAGGTTTGTCCTCTCATTTGCAGAGAAATCGGCCCCTTTCCTTCTCCTTGCTGCCGCTCGATGATGTGCCGCAGCTGTGCTCAACGGAGCATTGCAATGTTCACCCTTTTTAAAAGTCCACTTCCCACATGAACCCTGCCTCCACCTCTTCATCCATACAACATCAACCATCATTGAGAGTGTTGTCTGTAGTGCATCTTAACAAGTGATTTATAAACTCCAAGAGCAACAATTTGATAAGTCCTTTTTTAAAAGGAGTGACGAGAAATAATGCTTAATATAAGTAACACAGAGACCACCTAAATGCAGATAGAAGCTCCAGACCTGAAATCAGATGATTTATCCATTGGTTTGTAAATGAGATTACATTTTCAAGGTTCAAATTTTTTCAAGGCCCAAGGCCTTAAGTGCATTATGGGAGTTTAAAGTGCTGGCACAATTTCTCTGAAACAATTTAAACTCAGTGAGCATATTTTGGACATAAAAATAACCCTGTTTATTTGTGCAACTGATGCCTTAGAGAATATTACGGGTTCAATAGAAGTTAAAGTTCACCAAAATTGTTTAAAATCTGTCATCATTTACTCTCCCTCATGTTGTTTCAAACCTGCATGACTTTCTTTCTGTGGAACCTAAAAGATTAGCCTATCTTAAAAAATGTTGGTACCATTTTGGTTACCATTGACTTCCATTGTATGTATGGAATTTCTCAGAATATTTTCTTTTGTAAAAAATCTGGGTTACAGAAATACAATGGAAATGGATGGGGCCAATCTGTAAATGGTTAAATATTCACTGTTTCAAAGGTACTGCTGCATGAAGTAAACAATATGCATGTTGCATAATTTTAGTGTGAAAAGTGAAACTTCTTTTCATTGCTAACATAATGCGTAAAAACCGGAAACATCTAAAACATTTTTTTTTTAAAACAAAGAACAAGTCAGAAGTATTTTTGTGGTGATCAACATATTTTATAATGTTGTCTGAGGTCAACTTATGACATTTGCTTGGTTTTTTTTTGCATTCAAAAACATCAAAAATGAATAAGTAATAGGCTATTTTCTACCCTAGTTTCCAGCCTAGCTTTTTATGGGCGTCTCGCATTGAAGACTTGGAAGTAAACGCCCACCGCTGTGAGTGGATTACAGTTTTGCATATTATAATGAGTTTCAACTCACCCGTCGATGCATTTGGGAGAAATTATTTTTAAAACTTCCAATGTTGTAAAATGGCAACCAGAATGATTCGACCCAGAGTCCGTGTGTTGCACAATTCCTGTCGGATCCAATATAGACGGGACAGCACCGTTCTTTACTCTTAATCGGTCTGCAAATCCAGTCTTGTTTACAAAACAATCTTCAGTGAAATGAAGCAAACAAACGGACAATGTTTTACCTCATCAGTTGGAACCTCATTAAAAATAAAGTTTATCCATGTAGTCCTATTGGAATCCAGAGAACGCTTATGCAGCGACTGTCTTCCACAACCAGGCACTG